GTCGAACAAGCTCACCTTGGCAATACTGTCAATAAAACTTTGTGGAACACGAACACTGCTCCAGCGGTCGTCAACGCTTACTACAGTCGCAATAAAAATCAGATAAGTCAGTTATTATTTGAGAGGAAGCTATATCCGTATCTTTTTATCTTTTTTTCATGATTTTGCGTTTTAAAAATCACTCTCTAAATTGTCTAAAACTTTTATTTTGTTTTTTTCTTTTAGTGTTTCCAGCGGGCATATTACAGCCACCTTTTTATCATAGATTTTTTCCACGAAGTTTAAATTACGGTGGGATTGGTGTCGTAATTGGACACGAGATTACTCATGGATTTGACGATAAAGGCAGATTGTTTGATAAAGATGGGAATCTTTATAGATGGTGGAAAGACGAGGCGGTTGATGGTTTTCATCGACGAGCACAATGTCTGATTGGTATGGAAAGAGAAAATTCCCTCTTTGAATCGTGATACGCGATAGAAAGATTTATAATCGGATGCTTTTGCCTTTATAATCGAGATCTTCCTCTTTGCAGATCAATATGCAAATTATACCGTGACAGAAGTTGGGATGCAGATAGATGGTGTTAATACGCAAGGTGAAAATATTGCCGATAACGGCGGTATTAAACAGGCATTTAGAGTAATTCCACAAATTTTCCTTCTCTAATTTGAATCAAAAAGAATCTAATTTTACCAATTAATAGAACTATGATGGAAAGTTTGTTTTCTTTGCAGGCGTATGAGAGATGGCTACGTTCAAACGAAGGGGAAGACGAAACTCTACCCGGAATGACTATGACGGGTAAACAATTATTTTTTCTGAACTTTGCTCAAGTGTGGTGTGGTTCGATGCGCCCCGAAGCGACAAGAAATAAATTGAAAACATCTTTACATTCACCCGGTAGATTTCGAGTGATCGGCACGCTTTCCAATTCGAAAGACTTTGCTCAGGTGTTCAATTGCCCTCTTGGTTCCCCTATGAATCCTGTGAGCAAATGCTCGGTATGGTAAAATGCGAATGTGTGTGTTGTGTGCGCGCGCGCGCGTGCGTGTGTGTGTATCAGAGGAGTGCGAATTAAGCATTTGTAAAATCGAATGGGATCTGAAATCTTTACACCGAATCGAATTCGAATAAATTTTTCACACTCTCTGACGTCAGCTAAGAAAAAAAATCTTAAAAAGCTGAAAGGAACTCATTTTGAATGTACAACAAGTATATCGAAAAGTTAATATATGACATAAATATACTAAAAATAATACTTTTTGGTAATAATACCTGTATGTTGAAAATGGCTGATTTTCTTGTTTATTTAAAAAGATCTGGATTGAAAACATTCGTACTCTAAATCGTATTCAATAGTATTCAATAGATCGCAACTAATAGAGTCCAATAATAACTGACGACACGCGATGATTAAGCGTACGCGCACGAAAATTGATACACGCTGAAAATTATAAAATTAGTCGCAGAAGATAGATCTGTTGCACACAGGTCGCATCAACCATCAACGCATTACGCGTGGCAAGAGAGGACGTCATACACAGGACGCGTTAGTAAATTAGACTTTTTCCGATAAGAGTCTAATTTAGCTATCGCGTCGTTTCTTTCCATGCATAACGCGTCCTGCGTACGACAGACTATGTATAGAAAAGAAGAAAGCGCTTAAATGAAGGAAATAAAATAGGCGAATGTTTCGAACTACCGATGATTCGAACTTTTGAACTTTTCGGTTTTGAATCTCTCTCTCAGATTCGAAAATCGAATCTCAAATTCAAAAACAATCGAATCCACTGTGATTCGATTTAAATTCAAATTAATTCGCATACCTCTAATATATGTACATACATGTATAATACGTGTATAATACAACACAATTTCTACAGATATCGATACGATTTATCCCTATCACAGTATTCTCTCATTTGTTATGAATGACACAATGCATTCTCAAGCATGCTCCTTAAGATTTCTAGCATTTTCTAGAAATGTATAAAATAATGGAGAAATATACATTTTTAAATTTGTTCATTGGATCGTATTATATGTATCATTTGGAAACATCTAATAGAGGAAGAGAGAGGGAACGGAGAAGAGAGAGCGGTAGTATAGGACAAAATGTGAGCTTTTGCAGTTTTTTTTTACGGAAAAACCGGAAGTCGGATAAAGAAAGTGATAGTAAATACGAGCAGCTTAGATTGTTTTTATCTATAAATCTTGATTCTTTTCTCTATCTTTAAGCTGATTTTACAAATTTATCGAATCTTGATACTGTATTTTGTTTAAAATTAATAAATTCGAGCTTCCTATATCAGTAGTATATTTATATATGTGTATAAATTTGCTTAGAGAGAACATGAGTAATTGGTTAATATTTGAATATTTGCAATTTTTGAAATTTTTTGTTTGAATTATATACATATACATATATTAATGCTAGTGATGAGTTCTATACATATTGTACTGGAATCAGCCTTCCCTATGCCAATATGTGGGAAACCGTGCGACTGTGTACGAGAGACAGCTATACGTATTGGGGACGTTTGCTTCGTTTTAATATGTTATATTGAAGTGAGGTAGACATCCTTAATATTTATATAGCTGTCACTCTCACAATTGATTTCCACTACTTTAAGCCTGATTGATATATATCAATTAATGTAATAAGAAATAAATTTCTTGCACGCGATTCGCGATACGTACATTATTTTATATAAATAAACAGTGTTTTTCTTTATAAAAACAATTCTGTTTTAACGATTTATTTACACACTATTATGATAATATATTCATACTGATTTGTAAAAATTGAAATTTAAGGCGAAAGGAAAAAGTACATCAATTCTAAAAACTGATCTCAGTTATAATATAATGTTGTAAGATGAGATACTGTACAATAAATCATTGTGCTTTCCCTCAGTTAATATGTATATACATATACATATGAACCATATTTTGTTATCTTTCCTCATTCTTTCTTTTTTCTTCTTCCTTTTTTCCTTTCTCTCTCCCTCACTCCTCTTAAATTTTTTTCAATTAGAAAATAGGAAATGTAAACGCGCGCGTTATCATTCAAAGAGTCAGAGAATTACTTGTGTGGGTGTTGCAAAATTGTCAAACAAATTTTAATTACCACGATGACCTTTATGATCATAATTTTATTATGTATAGCCGTTACACACACACACACACACACACACACACACACACACACACACACACACACACACACACAC